ACATAGTAATTTATTTATTAATTTAAAAGTCTTTCCAACCCTAACCCTATATTTGTTTAGCACAATTTTAAATTCTTATTCTAAAGAAATATAATAATTTTTGAATAGTGAATAAAAGAGAGAAAAAAAAACATTCTAAAAGTTGTTACGTTGTTATTTTGTAGCATTGTTTGTGGGTTTGCAAGAAGGTCCTTGGCCAGAGCTAATGCTGTTTGGGGGGCCATGGCATGAAAAAGTTTTGGAATCCCTCATCTAGAATGTAGTTACAGTCAGACGAAACAGRTTTTATGTTAAAATGACCTGCCATACATCTAGACTGAGTGACCGACTGAGCACATGCCAAGTGCTTATGCAGTACCCAAGAGGAAGAAAAAGTAGTTCCCTCCAACCACATATGATTTAGACAAGATTTGAATAGTTTAGTTATTTTCCACTATTTTCCTGTTAATGATATGCGTTGTGTAAAATAACTGAAGTATCAAAGTATCGATATTTTGATTTTAGTATCGATTCTAGAGCAGAAAGTTCTGGTATCGGTAGTGATATTTCAGTATTGATCTGCACATCACTACTCTTTACTTCGCTATTGAACTCTGTGGACGCTGTTTAAAGCACTGTGAAGCTGCGGGAACGAGGGAGAGGAAAGCCGCGTCGTTACCAGTGATAAGAAGCTGATTCTGAACAAAAGTTTAGCGCGTTGTAGCGCATATTTAGTCAATGACATGTACACACAACAGTATATATTTGTTCACTTGTTTTTTTTTTGGTTTTTTTTTACATTTTAGGAGAAGCTGAGCTTCCCTTGCAGTCTTCATACAATCACCTCTGGTGGAAAGTGTAAACACCTGAGTGATTACTGAATGGGGACAGGTGTGAGGGGAGAGAGAGAGCAGGACAACCCAGAGCTGGCTGAGGAAGGGGCGAGAGTTAACACAAAGATCAGGTAAACATGAAAACAACAAAGCAAACAAAGAGACTATGATAAGTATCCAAAAACTACCTTTAAGATTTAATTGTCAAACAACTGTAAAATTACATTTACTGCCAGTAAATGTAATTTTACAGTTTAGGATAAACTGGTTTTGGGACACCCCTAGTTTTATGTAGCATTTAGAGCATACATAAACTAACAGGTAAACGGAAAAAAAATAGAAAGACATCATTAGGATTAATTTCTTATGCCTTATTATCCATCAACAACTTCATTTATCATATCAAATCTTTTCTCACAATCCAGCAAATCAGGTAAAAAATTAAAACCTGCATTAATAATCCAATTATTTGAATTCAAAAAAAGAATGGAAAAGAATGCCACAAATGATAATTACATTATGTTCTACAGTACGTTGCTCTTTCCACACCAAAATCAAAGATTATTGAAAAATTCCAACTTTATTTTCTCTGTTTGATAGCACATTGAAAATTGGACTAAATAAAGTGACAAAAACAACCATTTCACATTTAAATTATTACCTTTTGGATCTGGATAAATAGCTGAGCCTTGAGCTTTGACACTTGAATTGGAGCAAGAAGTGTGGCTGTTTTGAGAACACGTCTCATAAATTCTGGTGTAACTTCTCAGTCATCCAGGTAATGAAAAATTCCTTTCTCTTCTTTTATTTCAAAATAAAGCAGCTGGACATTAGTAGTTGAAAATGTTTAGCTTCTCATTTGTGGAGCTTGCATGAGACACTTTGTTGTTTAAAATTCACATGCAGATTAATCTCACTCACTGCCCACTGGAGTGTGGTTAAGGGTCTTTGTTTGCCCAGCTCACAGACAGATGCTGTAGTCACGTGCATGAAAGTGTAAATGACTTGGTATTCCATTRTAAGTTTTAGAAAGCTTGCAATTATAATTATTATTTTTTGTATTGTGTTGAACGTCAACAGGAAGATGGGCCCTGCACCTGCAGACGTAATGGGGGACAAACCCCTGGATGGCGGTTGGGGATGGATGGTGGTGTTGGGCGCCCATATTTCCATCGGATTTGCGTACTCAACGCCCAAAGCCCTTTCCATTTTCTTCAAGGTGATTCAAGAGGACCTGGAGGCCAGCTATAGTGAAATAGCATGGCTTTCTTCGATCATGCTAGCTGCAATGTATGCAGGCGGTGAGTCATCAGTGTGTCTTGTTGGTTTGTACAAACAGAAACATGACTGTTAACACAATGTCACAAAATCTTACCTGAGAACATTTAGTACTCTGGGGCAGTCTGTTAATTTACAGATAAACTTATAAATGTGTCATGTAACGTACATGTAACAAATAGAAGCTAACACTTTGATTAGCTTTAAAGGGATCCATGATTAGTTGTAACATTAGACTTTATTTGATAAACATATTTTAACTGTAAAATAAAGACT